TAGATCGAGAAGGAAAAGTTTGAGGTTTTGTAATGAGTATCATTTGTACACTGAGGTGAGGTTTGTAGCCGCCCAGCTCAGTTGCCATTCACACGCTGTACAGTTCTTTTTCCCGCCAAAAAATATTGCTGACTCGTACTTCCACCTCACCACAAGGAGCGGGACAGTGCGTCAGAGCGAATGATCTGGCAGGTGCATCGTGGTGCTGATTGGCTTCCACGATTCCTTGCATGCCAAACAGTGTCGTCGAACGGGGTGGAGGAGTTGGAATTGGGCTTGCAGATTGGCTTGCTGTCTAGCCTTTTCATCGCACGAATCCTGGCAATGCTCGTTCAATGAAAAAACCATGACGACAGATGCTTCATTTCACGGGTCGTTTGCACAGTTTGGACGTGTGCCTATAGGAGCAAGTCTCGACTGTCGTGACAGATATTTAGCTTGAGGAAAAGAAGCGGGTCTTTCTTTGATGCATTAGGGGATGGTTACCGGAAAGGGTCAGTTTGATCGACCTGTTTGCCGAAGTTCTCTCTTCATCCACTGTGCCCAGCACTTCACAACCCAAGCATACATTTCTGGCAGGCTTGCCATTTTGAACTCCAATACTTCGCATTGTAGCTTTGTTTTCTTGGAGTCCTAGCAGCCACACATAATTCTATTTTTAGACACTCTCCTCTCTGGCCGTGACGATTCGGGTATGTTTGCGTTTCGTTGCGACTCTGATTTAGCATACTCTAGCGTTACAAGGGACACTATAACGTCACCTACATCGCGCCAGAGGTTATTCAGAGTTTCAAACCAGTGCAAGCCCGAGTCGCGGTTTGGAAAAAAACATTTCTACTACTACTTCTGACCGCGACGGTGCAAGATGATTGACGTAGAGTATCCGTGCAGCGGACGCGCCGCTCCAAAGGAGATAATTTCCAGTCCAAATCAAGCCACAACAAATACGATGTTGTGTGGACGCAGGTCAACTGAGACGACTCAAAGTTCAACTGCGGCGGGCTCAAAGCGAGCGGCATTGCGCGCGGCACTGCCGCGCACCGACGCGCTCTTTGAACCGAATGCGAAGAAGACGCCAGAACAAGTCGTTCCACCTCAAGATGAAGAAGGTCCGAGCCTTTACCGGTGGCAGAAACTCTCCCACAAGTGGCTGTGCCAACGGACGGTCAAAAGGTGCGGTGGATTCGTTGTTTCACAAGTGGTTACAGGGTGTTTATACGGTGTTCACGGGGTTCTCAGGGTGTTCAGAGGGTGTTACGGCGTTCAAAGGGTTCTCAGAGTGTTCACAGGGTGTTCAGTGACTCGCCGCCTTACCTATCTCCCACTGGGACCTACTTAACGTCTGATGGCAAGGCCGACTCGGCTAAAAAACTGAAAACTTCTGATTGCAGGGCCGATGAGTCCACTGAAAAACTGATTCCCCTCCTACCTTTCGCATTCTCCCACTCCCAGGATCTACTTCACGTGTGTGTGCAAGGCCGTCACGGGATGCACGGCGCGGAAGGTGGAGGACCGAACCCCGGGCCCGCCTCGCGGCAAGCACACCGCGCCTCCCGCCGCCGCCGCCCGCGCTGCTGCTGCTGCCGTCCCAACAAGCGCCACTCTTGCTGCTGCTGCTGCTGCCGTCCCGAGAAGCGCCGGTCATCAGGCCGATGCTGCTGATGATGCAACTGCGGCTGCTGCTTTGGAAGACGGAGGTTCCAACCACGGGGAGGTGCAGAGTGTTGAAGGTTCCAGCCCCGCCCGCCCTGAGCGCGTGGAGATGCGCAACGTGGTGCGCGTAACGACATCAGGCTTCCACAACCACCCTCCCACAACCTGCCGCAAGCGCCGCCGCTGCAGCGACGCCCCTGCACCCGCCACAGCCCATGTGCTTTCTGAGGGCCAACCGGAGAGGAAGCTGAGCTACCAGCCTGATAGGGAGTTGACCTTCCGTGCTGCAGGGAGGATGTGCTTTCAGCCTGAAGGAAAGATGTGCTTTCAGCCTGAAGGAAAGATGTGCTTTCAGCCTCAACTGAGGTTGGGTTGTCAGCTTGGGGAGCTAAGCTACCAGCCAGAAGAGTTGAGCTACCAGGCTTCAAAGCGCCACAGGGCAACGCCGGTGCAAGCTGAGCTGGATGGTACCATGGGGAGCCTCAGTGCCAGCTGCTGCAAGGCTGAGCCGTCACTCTGCCTGGCTGGCGGATCTGCGCTTGCTCCGCAGCTACCAGATGGACCGCTTTCTTCTGCTGGCGGCAGTGCAACGTGCTTTCCGTGGTCGTCAGCGACGGTCCGCACCACTCAAGGGGTGCAGCGGAGCAGCCTCCGGTTGCAACAGTGCTTAACGAACCAGTTTGCGAGCCGCGTTCCAAGCCCAGCAGGCCCGGCATCTGCACCAGAACCAGCAGGCCCGGCAGCTTCAGCCGTCCCAGTTGTTCCAGCAGGAAAATCAGCCCCAGTAGCCTCTTCAGCGGCTCATCCGCGGGAGCAAAAGTTTCAAGAAAGCAACAAAGCCGTTGGCACGAGCAGCAACTGCAACCTCGCGTTCCTGATGGGGGTGCTTCTGACACCCCCTGAGAGGCAGGTGGTGCTGTCAAGGCTCCTGAGCCTGCATGGTGCAATGGAGAACAGAGCACAGTTGAACGGCATTGACACGACAGGCCTTGCCCAAGACCTCGCCCCAGGCCTTGCCCCAGGCCTTGCCCCAGGCCTTGCTTCAGGCCTTGCTTCAGGCCTTGCTTCAGGCCTTGCTTCAGGCCTTGCCCCAGGCCTTGCCCCAGGCCTTGCCCCAGGCCTTGCTTCAGGCCTTGCTTCAGGCCTTGCTTCAGGCCTTGCCCCAAGCGTGTGCAGCAGCAGCAGCTGCAGCTTTGGTGGGGCTTCAGGCACGGCCGGCCAGGCTCCTGCTTCAAGCATGGATTCAGGCGTTGCTGGTGGCGCTGCTGGCGCTGCTGATGCTGCTGATGCTGGTGGCGCTGGTGGTGCCGTTGGTGATGCTGCTGCTGCTCCTACCGCTGTAGCTCCTACCGTTTCTGCAGCTCCGGTCGCTGCTGCTCTGCCAGCTGTCATTGCTACACCACCCGTGCTTGATCCACCTGCATCTGGCTACACATCTGTCACAAGAGCAGCAGAGCCGGATTCTTCAACCAGCTTCTTGAATGAGGTGAGCGATATGGGAGCCAAACTCTTGTGCTGCACATTCAGCTAGATTTTCGCTGCCTGCTGAGCCGGATTCTTTGGTAGCATTTATCCATCCAAAGCCCTCCTGGTTCTGCTGTTAGACTCTTTTTTTCCCTTTCTTATTTCCTTTTTTTGCTGCCATCTTACCCCGGCTGTTCCTTCCTGCCTGCCACTGATTACCATCCTCTTGTTCTGGCAGTTTTTGGAGCAAGCAGACACAACAACAGGCTTCCCAACCCGTCCTGCTCCATCCCACCCTAACCCATCTTACCTTAACCCATCCTACCCTGACTCAACTTACCTTAACCCTGACCTATCCTCTTCCCCTAACCCATCCTCCTACCTTAATCCATCACACCCTGACTCAACTTACCTTAATCTAGACCCATCCTCTTACCTGAATCCAATGGACTTAACCATCCCAACTACAAGCATCTGGTCTGATTTGACCCACCCATCTGCCATCCCCTCCCCTGCATCTGCGATCAAGACTCAAGATTCTAGTTCTCAAGAATCTCTGGAGTTTCATCTGATTGGGCTCAGGACGTCCGATGAGCCGCACTCACTGATCGATATCTCTGCTCTTGGGGCAGCTTTTGATACACCTCAGAAGCAATCGCAGGAGCTTTCGGAATTTCATACGGGTGGGGCTGGGGCATCTGATTGGTCTCACGTGCTGACGTTACTGACTGAGACCCCAACTCTTGGGGATCCCTTCGAGCCCCCTCAAAAGTATTCTCAAGAGCTCCTGGAATTGCACCCGATTGGGGTTGGAGCATCTGATTGGTCTCGCTCGCTGGCATTGCTGACTGAAACCCCAGGGCTTGAGGCAGCTGGGAAGCCCATCCAAGGGCTGGGAGAGGGAGGTTGCAAGGAGGAGATGACGGCTGAGATTTTCTGTGCCGTCGGATTAGACGATTGGCCGGCGTTTGGACATCGATTGGATGACTATTGAGACGCCTTCGAAAGAAATATGAAAGTATTTAAAAGAATGTCAGAGAATGATTTTCAGGAATTGCATCAAGTTTTGTACTAATTTACCGTACTAATTGATCGTACTATAATTTGGGCAGGTTTTGGTGAGGACCCTCTTGCTGCAATTGATATTTGAAGGACCCCTAATGTATACAGTTAGTTGAAATGAGTTGGCACATGAGCTTGTAGAGAGAAAATATACTGTTCTGACGCAGTAGCAACGATGCATCCACAGCACAGCTGGCTTTCTTTCGCGCCGGGCAATTCATTAGGCTTTCTTCTGTTGGCGCCTCGCAGACACATCCGTAGGCGGGATTTACGCGTTTCATATATAGTGCGGTGTACAATCGAGGGAGACTTTTCCCTAAGGGAATTTTCGCTTTCGCCATTCCCCACCCATCTCCTACGGAAACCCACAATTCAAATTATACGGCATCCCTGGCAGTAGCATGCCAGTTACCAACAGGGCATCCATTATTGTCTCTAGCTAGCAAGTAGCGATGCGAAGCATCCACGCGGCCGGCTTACCTCCGCTCACGGGCAATATATTAGGGACTCTTTTGTCGCTACGCCTCGCAATTGAGATACCTCGCCACGTCAGTCGCCGGGAGGCACGTGGTTGTGGGGGAAGTTCATCCTCCCTGCCCCACATCAGACAGCAATTCAATGCCACGCTTGCGCGAATCAAAAGTTTGCACACCATGCGCGTCGTCATGGCGAAGATCATCAATCCGCCGATCAGCATCCCCCATTCCCCTGGTCTAACGAACTGGTTTCGCTTATTCAATCTCAATCCACATTGGATTAGAAGCACCCTCAGGGGTTTTCTCGCTTGAAGATCCTCGTGTCCAACAGACAGCTTTCACGCCATGGCGTTGCTTCATGCTGCCTCCGTGTCGCTCTCTCCCTTTGCTGCTCTCGGGACCCCACTGGATCGCCATCCCCGATACAAGCTCTCTCTGTCAAGGTAATACATTTTTCCTCTATCAGCCGAACACATTCTGATCACTCGATGCAGGACGCGGGGTCGATTACCGGCCGTTAGAGCTTGAACGTAGCAGTTCTTACGTACTTTGGCTATGCCATACGAGCTTCCGTTTGGTATACGCCAGTATTAGAACCGCTCTGCGTATCCCTGAGAAATATCACCAGTTCTACGCCGGCGCCGCCCGTGACCTTCCAGTCCGACTGGATTTGAGTCAAATCAGTTTTCGAGAATTCTAAAAATCAGATCAGCCTCTAAACATTGCGCTGGCTTTCCAAGGTCCGCAACGACGTGATCAATGATCCAACTCGGATTGTTCCAATCCAACTGAAGGTGAACTTCGATATCACAACGACGCGTCCGTCCCCTTCTTTGCAGCTTTACCTCCTCCTATGGCGGCCTCCGCCTCTCCGCCGCGCCGAGGTCCGCGGTGGCGCGCGGCAGCCGCCCGCCAAGGGCGACTCCGCTCCGCGGCTCCTCTGCCTCTGCCAGCAGCAGCGATCGCGGCGCCTCGGCCGGCGACGGCGCGCCGTTGCGTCAAAACGCGCTGACGAACTTCAGCCCTCTCACAACGGGAGTGGCGACCGGAAAAGCGGCTCAATGCGTCCCTGTCGACCTGCGGCTGGCCGTGCTGCTGGGCGGATTAGCGTTTGAGGCGTACTCGACTCCGGAGCAGGTGTGGTGTGGGTACATGCTGGCTAGTTTGAGGTTTCTTGGAGGCTCGCAACCTGAGGTTACATCATCGCCCTCATACTAGTTTGAGGGGAAGGTGAATTTAGTGGGTCCGCTGTTAGAGAGGGGCAATGGAGGAAGGAAAAGAAGGAGGGATAGATAATGGTGGGTTGAAGCAGCAAGGGAAGGTGGTATGGACGAGGCAGGTGGCTGTGGGGTCTGGGAGAGGGGGGGGGAGGGGGGGGATAAGGACAGCAGTTGTGCCGGATGCTGCACCGTTTGAGATGTCTCAGAAGTCGTTCAGAACATTTCATTACACATAGGTAATAATAACAGTAATAATAGCAATAATAATATTAATTTAGATAACACAAAATTGACGATCCATAGACATAGACGGGCGCTAGTGCTGTGATGTTTCCTTCTCAAAAGCTTCCATTCTCTCATCCTTCCCATACCCCCAGGGGAGCGATAAGCTCTCAGATAAGGACGGCCAGGGGTGCGAAGCTCTCTTCACCTCCACGCCCTTCGCCCACGAGCTCTTTCAGGGGCAGCTCTCCGTGCGAGAACTGAGGGCCACCGTATGTCATGCCACACTGCCACTTCCTCCTCACTCCCTCAATCTCCCACCTACTCAACCCCTTTCTCACTCATTCACTCATTCGCCCTTTCACCTCTCTTCACCTCCATTCGTTTGGCACTCGAGCACTTTCAAGGCAGCTCTTCGTGCGAGCACTTCTTGTACCAGCTTTATGATTTCTCAAGAGTGGTGATCTGCTCTCGAGCTCTTCGTATTTGTGTTGCTCTCTTAGTTGTTCATTCGCTCATTCACTCACTTTCTCATCACTCACTCTCATTCACTCACTCACCCACTTCCATTCATTCACTCACTCACTTTCTCAATCACTCACTTCCATTCACTCACTAACCCATTCGACCTCACTCACTCACTTTCTCAATCACTCACTTCCATTCACTCACTAACCCATTCGACCTCACTCACTCACTCTTTTCTTGATCACTCCCTCCCTTCCATTCACTCACGTACTCATTCGACCCTCCCATGTACTCACTTACTCATGCAACTTACAAGCCACTACATTCCATCCTGATCCCCTCACCCTATCCTCTATGCTTCAGGCGAACATCAAGGTGCGCCATGCTGAGCTGAGGCGACTTTTGAGTCGCCTCACAAGCCACCCCATTCTCTCACACCTTCTCTCATTCACTTCACTCTACTCCAACTCTCACCCCATCCTCCATCCTCTATACTTCAGGGGAACATCATGGCGCGCCATGCTGAGCTGGCGCTGGTGACGTCAGCAGGGAAGCCCGCCACGTGGAATGGCGTCGCTTGCACCAGCAAGGCTGAAAAGTGAGTTGGCGCCTGTGTTGCCCTGCCACACTCGCCCATGGACACGTCGCATTCTCACATTCATTCTCACATTCGTCTTTTGGAGATTCCTTGGCAGAATGCCATCAGTCACGTCACCCTCAGCATGAAGGCTCCAGTTTGAGCCGGCTCTGTGCTACTCTGCCTGCCATACTCGCATGGACACATCGCATTCTCTCACTCATTCTCACATCCGTTCTCGCATTCGTCCTCGCATTTATGGTCACATCACATCACAGCCAATAGCACGTGCCCACAATTCGTCTTCTCTCCGCCTGCCTCCCCCTCCCCCTTTCCTGCTTCTCCTCAGCTCGAAGTACCCATCATGGGGCCAGCAACTGCAGCTGCTGGCGCCTCGTTAACCAACTCACCCAGTTGATTTCTCTCTTCCACCCTCTCTCCATCTCAGCCTAAAGAACCCATCATGGGGCCAGCAACAGCAACTGCAGCTGCAGCTGCTGGTGCCGGGGATCCTGCTGTGGATGGTGCCCCGTGATAACACAAGTGTTTTGAGACGTCTCAGAACTCAGACGTTTCAAAACTCAGACGTCTCAAAACTCAGACGTCTCAAAACTCAGACGTCTCAAAACTCAGACGTCTCTAAACTCAGACGTCTCAAAACTCAGACGTCTCTAAAACTCAGATGTCACAAAACTCAGACGTCTCAAAACTCAGACGTCTCAAAACTCAGACCTTTCAAAACTCGGACGTCTCAAAACTCAGACGTCTCAAAACTCAGACGTCTCAAAACTCAGACGTCTCATAAATGTTATTTACATCCACTTCCACCCCTCCCCGCCTACCCGCCCTCCCCTCCCCCCTCCCCCCCCCTTCACCCCTCCCCCCTCCCTGCTTCCCCTACCCAGCCTGATGAACCCATCGTGGCCCGAACAACTGCAGCTGCTGGTGCCTCGTGCTTCTCCCTCTGACACCTACTTTCAGGTCTTCTTTCAGGTAATCCAGTAATTCTCTCTTGGTTTGCATTATTGGCCGCAGGTGGTGCTTTGTTGGCCCCAGGTGGTGCTTTGTTGGCCCCAGGTGGTGCTTTGTTGGCCGCAGGTGGTGCTTTGTTGGCCGCAGGTGGTGCTTTGTTGGCCCCAGGTGGTGCTTTGTTGGCCCCAGGTGGTGCTTTGTTGGCCGCAGGTGGTGCTTTGTTGGCCCCAGGTGGTGCTTTGTTGGCCCCAGGTGGTGCTTTGTTGGCCCCAGGTGGTGCTTTGTTGGCCCCATTTGGTGCTTTGTTGGCCCCAGGTGGTGCTTTGTTGCTTCCAGGTGGTGCTTTGTTGGCTCCAGGTGGTGCTCTGTTGACCCCAGGTGGTGCTCTGTTGGCCCCAGGTGGTGCTCTGTTGGCCCCAGGTGGTGCTCTGTTGGTCCCAGGTGAATCTTTCCTCCCCCGACGTGACGTAGATGCTGCTGGTGCTGCTGATGCTGCTGATGCTGCTGTTGCTGCTGGTGCTGCTGATGCTGCTGACGATGCTGATGTTGTTGGGATATATTTCGAAGGGAAGTTGCGTTGCGACAACCAGTCTTTCTCTCTCCTTCTGCCCCCTCACCGTCTCATCAACCTGTCTTTCTCCCTCCCTTCTGCAACTCTCCTTTCTCTCCTCTCTGCCCCCTCACCGCCCGTCCTCCCCATCAATAGATCAACTTGCACGGTTGGGATGCTGACAATGATGGTGAAGACAGAAACGATCGTGTGCTGCCTCTTGAGTCGTCTCAAAAGTCTTCCATCTCTCCCTCTGCCCACTCACCGTCCCATCAACAGATCAACTTGCACGGTGGGAATGCTGACAACAACGATGACAACACAAACTATTGTGTGGTGACATTTGAGTCGACTCAAAAGTCCTACCTTCTCTCCTCTCGGCCCTCTCACCGCCCCATTCATCAACAGATCAACTTGCACTATTGGAATGCTGACAATGACGATGACGACACAAACGATTATGTGGTTGGCACGGCCACCATTGCCCTCAATGACTTGATCAAAGGTGGGGTTGAGGAGGATGCGGCGTGTGAGTGAAGGTGACTGTGTGGGTGGCTTGGCACGGCCACCATTACTCTCACTGGCTTGGTCAAAGGTGGGGGTGAGGGTGTGTTAGGCGCTTCACTTGTCTCAATCCTTCGTGTCCACTCAATGCTCTAAACCGCTCTCCACTGCTCGCCACTGCTCTCCACCACTCTTCACCGCCCTTCACCCTCTCCATCCCTCTCCATCCCTCTCTGTGCGCAGGTTCAAACACCCAAATTCCCGAGGTCGTAGGGCTTACGCTGACTCACGACGACAAAAAGACAGGCAGTGTTTCCATGGAGGTATGTGGGAGGGAGGTGGGTTTGGGGTAGGTGTGGCTGGGGTGGGTAAGTTTGGAGGGGTGCATAGTGGTTGGTGGGCCTTACACCGACTCACGATGGCAAAACGACAGGCAGTGTCTCCATGGAGGTATGTATGTGTGTGGGAGGGAGGTGCATCTGGGGTAGGTAGGTTTGGATCACGAATGTAGTCCTTCTCTTTGAAGTTAAGCTACCTGTGCATGTGCGTTGCTGAGAAGAAATAAATCGTTCCCTGAGAAGCGATTTTTACTCCACTGTCAAGAAGCTTTTACATATTCCGTGGTTCTGTAACTGCGACTGACTGTCCATAGCCCCGTGCAACTTTTGAGGCGCCTCAAAAAGCGTGCAACTTTGGAGGCGCCTAAAAAATCGTGCAACTTTGGAGGCGTCTCAAAAATCGCTTTTACATTCTGTGGATCTGTAACTGTGACTGAGTGTCCATTGCCCCGTGCAACTATCACTGCCCCGTCCTACTCCAAGCGTCTTGCTTGCTTGCCTTGCTCACTCCCCTCCCCCTTTGGCAGGTGGGCTATACAAGCTTCTCCGATCCTCGCAAGAGGTAGGGGGGGTAAGAGAGAGAGAGAGAGAGAGAGAGAGAGAGAGAGAGAGAGAGAGAGAGAGAGAGAGAGAGAGAGAGAGAGAGAGAGAGAGAGAGAGATTCCAAATTTGGTGATTCCAAATTTTCCGGTGCTCGTTTCGAGAGAGCGAGAGAAAGGGGGACTTAGCCTCTTCCCTCCTAGCCTCTTCCCCTTCCCCCAGCTATATAATGGCCAGCCGGCACCTTCCCTAGCTCATTATTCATTTGGTGATTCCAAATTTTCCGGCGCTTCGCGCCGGCGGCCTTCGGCCCCTGGCGCTCGCGTGCGCGGCCTACGACCGCGCATCTTAGGAGGCAAGCTTAGGTAACAGGACAACTTTAGCAGACAGCATGGCGACAAACATCATCAACTAGCAGGCATCATGGAGAAGGTCTACACAAGACAAAGGGGGGCACCTACATGCGGTCCGCCCCCAGAAACGAGAGCATTGCGCGCGTGGTCTGCCACAAGTGGCGGACCACTGACACGCAGGCGGTTAGAGCATCTCCGGGTGTGCCTTCAGCCGACCCTGCAATGTGCCTCAGATCCAGGGCCGCGCGAGCCAGCAGGTTGGCCGCGTCTGCACCCGGAGAGGGCGCTGCCTGCAGTGGCGCCAAGAGGGATAGGATCTCATCCGCCGCCCCCAAGCACGCTGCTTGCGGTTTCTCAGCAAATGTGCTCGGGCGGGATATCGGCATCGACGCACGCGTCGACCGGAGAACACGCGCCAGTGCCTCTAGGCACTCTGACAGTATCCACAGCTGACGCAGGGTCGCCGTGGAACATGAATACTCCGCCTCCTCAAGGCGAGGACGAGGGTCACGATACGGACCCCTTGCTGGGCCTCCGCCAGCGCCAACAAAACCCGGGAGAACAGGCGGCTGCTGGACAGAGCGCGGCGGGGACACCGCACGGTTGGCTACCTCGACAATGGCGGGAAGAGAACGAGGAGCGTCTGGCGGAACGGAGCGACAGGCTATCGCTGCCTGCGACTCACGGAGAGCAGTTGCGAGCACGTCCGGAAGCCTCTCCAGGGCGCGCGCAAAGTCCGACGCAGACTGGCGACCCCCGCCCCCGCGTCCGCGGCCCCTGCGACTGCAACGCCGACCACGACTATTCGACCACGAGCGGGCTGGAGATTGGGGCCGGGACGTGCTGCGCGGGCAGAGCGCAGGGGATCGCTCACGACGCGATGGAGAATGGTGCCGCCGGCGCTTCACCGGCGATTCGTGCGGAGAACGGCGAGCAGGAGAGCGACGCCCTGAGGATCGGCGCGCGGGTGAATGACAGCGAGGCGAATGGCGAGATGGGGAACGGTCACTCGGCGAACGACGCCCAGGGGAACGGCTGCGGCTCCCCTGACGACGAGGGGAGCGACGCTCGCGGCGATCTTCACGCCGCCCCTCGCAGCGTTCGTCACGAGGCTCAGGCGTCCGACAACGCGGAGAACGCCCCCGGTGCGGCTCCGCCAAGGCGCCAGAACGCACAGCGGACTCCGCGCGGGTTGCCACTCTCGGAGGCGAATCAGCGACGCGCGGCCCGGGAGGACGGCGCTGGTCCTCAAATCGGCGCCGGATTTGGTCCGCAGCAGCGGGAGGACGAGTAGGAACGCTCACCGCCGGGCGTGGCGGAAGCACAGGTGCACTCTCCGCGGTACACTCGCGGTTGTGGGCGGACGGAAGCACCATCTGCGCAAGCACAAGGCGCAATTCCAACACAAGGGGAGCCTACAACCCCGACTCTCCCCACGCAACAGGCGGCGCTAGCAGCAGGGACCCCGCAGAGCGGACGGGGAAGCGCGCGGGGGAGAGGATCGCGACGAGGAGCGCGCGGAGGACAGAGGAGCGCAGTTCAAGCGGCGAGGGGGCGCGGGCGCCAACCACCGAGCCTAATCTGACTAGGGGAGCCGGCGGAACGAATCACGTGGCAGTCGTTCGCTAGGCGCGGGGCGAGAGGTGGTGCACCAGCGCAAGCAGGGAGGAACGTCGATATCATCAGAGAGGCGAGCGACGAGGACTATATACCGTCAGATCTGAGGCAACCTGACAATCCCGACTCACCTCGCGCGGAATTAGGAGAGGAGGTGGCGCAGCAACAGGAGAGAGGAACCAACCGCAGACAGCAGCGCAGAGCCCAGCCCCCACCGGACCAAGCCCTATCTGCGTCCCAGCTGGCCTCGCGGGAGGATCTTTTCCAGATCGCGATGACCTGGGACCTTACACTCCTAACATCCATCACCCACCAACCAATCGTCCGCCGACTGCCGCCGCAGATCCTCAGCGACTACTCCACATGTATGCTGGCTGCCTTACTACGGATCTCAAAGCTGCCTAATTGCGCAGGAGCGTGGCGGGTCCTCATGTTCCTGCCACGTCTAACGCTAAGACTCAGCCGGAGATCCAGCTCTAGGTGGAAACTACTGCAGGCACAGATGCATCTATTCCGATGTGGCCACTGGACCCAGCTGTACACCGAATACTTGGGGTCAATGCACCTGGTCGAACCACCTCAGCACCAACGTGACCCGCTGGGAATCTGCTCACGTGCGGAGGGGTTGGTGAAAAGGGGTAACCTGCGAAAGGCGTTAGCGGCCCTTCAACCCTCGCCATCAGCACCAGCGACATTCCCGACACTGCAGCAGCTGGAGTCGAAACACCCCCAACCCCAAAATGACCTGCTCGACTGGGTCCACTCCTACACGACACCCACACAATTTTCAACCACCCTGGAAAGCTTTTCGGACGTCCTCGGGGAATGCCCCAGGGGGATTGGGGCTGGCCCATCGGGGTCAACCTTCGAACACTACCGCGATCCAGCGCTAAGTAACATCGAGGTACTAGGGCACCTCCAGTCCGCCGTTAAACACCTTCTCTCGACAAACCTTTCCACCGAGGTTGCAGCCCTACTCGCCCCGTCCCGCCTTATAGCCTTCGCCAAACCAGGGGGGGGGGTACGCCCAATCGCGATCGGAGAAACATTGCTTATGCTGGCGGCGAAAGTGGCACTCTGAGACGTGCAAGGAGAAACGCGAAAATTTTTCCTACCTCAGCAATTTGGCGTGGCAGTCCCGGGAGGTGCTGAGTTCGTCATCCATGCAGTCAGAGACCTCACCACCGTACAGCCCTCCAGCCTAGTCCTCCAACTCGACATTGAGAACGCGTTCAACTCAGTCGAGAGGAGCGCGTTCTTCAACGCACTTATCGGCGCCCCGCTAGCCCCCCTCATCCCCTTCACACGCTCTTTCTACGCATCACCATCACCGCTGCTGCTAGATCCATGCTTTACTTCCACAGCACTCACCAGCGGAAGAGGAGTTAGACAGGGGGATCCCCTCGGACCCCTGCTATTCGCGGCGTCTATCCAGCAGCACCCCAGGCACGTGGCAGCGGAGCACCCGGAAGTCACCGTCCTCGCGTACGCAGACGACATAACCATGATTGGACCCGCGACGGCGACGCTAGACGTGCTAAGGGAGCTCACGCCGCTACTAGCACTGTATGGCCTCACCTGCAACTTTATGAAATCGTCGGCGTGGTCCTCCATGCCGCTTGGAGGTGTCGTGCTCCCTGAAGGCCTCCCCCACACCCACGAGGGGGTACGGGTGTTGGGAAGTCCTGTGAGGTCGCAGAGCTTCTGCTCTGCCTTTGTCCGCAGTACCCTGACAGACGCGGCAGCCCCCTTGGGTTCTCTGGCGTCCATCCACCCACAACATGCCCTCCTGCTACTGTCCCGTTGCATCAGCCGCAGAATCGGCTACCTGCTACGCACTACCCCAGCAGACGTCTTACCCCTCTCGGAATGGCGCACATGGTGCTCCGAACTACTGCACACGGCCTTGACCGCCGCCAACATTCAACCGCCACGCCGAGAAGCCGAGTTCAACTTCTTGCTCCGACAAGCAACCCTTCCAGTCGCCCTGGGCGGGCTGGGACTTACAGACCCCACAACAGAAGCAGCACCGGCCTACCTGGCATCAACGACGGAGGCGCTACGACTGCTCCGCTCCCTTGACCTACCAGCAACCGCAGCATTGGGGGCCAACAACAACACCCTGCAGCTGTCCGCAGCGCACTCGGTAACCATCCAGGACATGGAGGGGCGCCTGCCACCGCTGGCGCTACAAAACCTCCGGGAGGAGCAGCAAACCCCGTCCCAAGACCAGCTGCAACGCGCCCTCTCTCAGGAGGTACACGCGGCAAAGGCTGACGCCTTGACAGAGGAGTCACGCACCATCCAGTCAGCCCCCGAGATGGGTCACTCACTCCGCCTCATCAGCCTGAGAGGGGAGGGAGCGGGAGCATGGCTGCAGGCCCTACCTTTGACCCCGGACCTTTGCTTCTCACCGGGACAATTCCGAGCAGCCCTGGCCTTCCGCATGGGCATCCGCCAGAATGTACCCACTGTGTGCGAGTGTGGAGAACTCGTAGCCGACTGCAGCCTACCCAACCACCTACTCCGCTGCAGCACAGGCCCCGACAGGACACGCACACACAACCAGCTAGCTTTTGCCGTGGCTAAAATGGCAAGGGAAGCAGAGCTGGTGGTATACTTGGAGAACGCCATGTACTCACCGCCGGATGACCCGAAGAAAGCAGATGTGATTGTGCGCGACCCGGACAGTGGAGAGACTTGGATCACAGACACGACTATCACCGACCCTGTGCTGCAGAACCGGGACCCCACAACCCGCAAACCCCCAGGCTGGGCTGCTAGAGAGGCACTGAGGCGGAAGGAGAGGGAGTACTACCGACACACGGAACACGTGGTGTTCTGCGCCCTAGCCGTCGAGACCTACGGGGCAAACACGCCCACCACGACTGCGTTCCTGAAGGTGCTGGCCACAGCAGCAGCTAGGAACCGGTTCAGGGCCAACCCCCTGGCGAAATCGGCCAAGAAGATGGCCTGCCACTTCAGCCAGCGCTGGTCAGTGGCCCTCTAGCGCTCCCAGGCGAATGCCCTGCACACCAAGGCAAGGGCTGGG